CAACATACAGTTGATATAAAAAGTCTACACACTGTTGTTAAAATGTCAGGTTTCTGTGATGTAAAAAAATGAGACAAAGATAAATCATTTCAGACCTTTTTCCACCTTTAATGTGATCTACAAACTGTACCAACTCAGTTGAACAACAAACTGAACTCTTTTAGGTGGAGGGAAGTAAAAAACTAAAATAATATGGTTGCATAAATGTGCACACCCTTAAACTAATACTTTGTTGAGGAACCTTTTGATTTTATTACAGCACTCAGACTTTTTGGGTATGAGTCTATCAGCATGGCACATCTTGACTTGTCAATATTTGTCCACTTTTCCTTGCAAAAACACTCCAAATGGTGTCAGATTGCGAGGGCATCTCCTGTGCACAGCCCTCTTCAGATCACCCCACAGATTTTCGATTGGAAGCAGAAAAACAGCCCCAAAGCATGATGCTGCCACCAACATGCTTCACTGTGGGTATGGTGTTCTTTTGGTGTTGTGCAGTGTTTTTGCACCAAACATATCTTTTGGAATTGTGGCCAAAATATTCAACCTTGGTTTCATCAGACCATAACACATTTTCCCACATGCTTTTGGGAGACTTCAGATGTATTTTTGCAAAATTTATGTTTTTTTTTTTTTGCTTGGATGTTTTTCTTCATAAGAAAAGGCTTCCATCTTGCAATTCTACCTCATAGCCCAAACATATGACGGATATGGGAGATTGTTGTCACATGTACAACATAGCTAGTATTTACCAGATATTCTTGCAGCTCCTTTAATGTTGCTGTAGGCCTCTTGGCAGCCTCCCAGACCAGTTTTTCTTCTTGACTTTTCATCAATTTTGGAGGGACGTCCAGTTCTTAGTAATGTCACTGTTGCGCCATACTTTCTCCACTTGATGATGACTGTCTTCACTGTATTCCATGGTATATCTAATGCCTTGGAAATTGTTTTGTACCCTGCTCCTGACTGATACCTTTTAACAATGAGATCCCTCTGATGCTTTGGAAGCTCTCTGCAGACCATGGCTTTTGCTGTAGGATGCGACTAAGAAAATGTTAGGAAAGGCCTACTAGAACAGCTGAAAACTTTATTTGGGGTTAATCAGAGGCACTTTAAATGATGGCAGGTGTGTACTGACTCCTGTTTAACATTATTTTGAATGTGATTGCTTAATTCTGAACACAGCTATATCCCCAGTTATAATAGAGTGTGCACACTTATGCAACCACATTATTTAAGGTTATGTTTACTCCCCCCCCAAAAAAAAAAGATTTCAGTTTGTTTTTTAATTAAGTTTTACAGTTTATAGGTCACATTAAAGATAGAAAAAGTTCTATTTATAAATTATTTATATTTGTCTCATTTTTTTACATCACAGAAACCTGACATTTTAACAGGGGTGTGTAGACTTTTTATATCCACTGTACTGCTGCTACCAAGAAGAAAAAAATTATGGCAATTTTCTTGCTGTGTCAGTAGTACTAATATGTTGCTTGAAAAGAAGCATAATGCTCTCTTGTTCCTGGCTGCCAATGGTAACAACATGGCCCTGATTTACTAAGACTTGAGTCTACCAGCAGACTCTGAACATTCAGGCAGACTCAATTAAATCAATCAAGACCTGTCAGTCTTCTGAGCGGCGTCTAGCAATCTCATTGACGAACATCTACTTTGCTATTAGTAAATGTGGAATCGCCTCTGGCACATTTTTATGTGCAATACCGGATATGTTCGCTAGATGGTGCACAAGCGCGGGCTTTGCACTGTTGGCGTTTTTCTGTTTGCATAAGAGAATACTTAGAATGTAACATAAATAGTACACCTATATTATAATTTTTTTTTTTTTTTTTTTGCTGTTTCTCCAAAATGCATTTACTAATGAATGTCATACATTCTATTTTCAAATGCTAAACATTTTCACTTTTATATCTCAAATAATTTGGAATGTCTAGTTCTAAATTCCCAATATAATGATATAGCTTCCTTCTCTTTAATCATGTAACTATTCTATGTTAAAGTCATAGTGTTATAAATGCATGTGATCAATAATGAACGCATGTAAAAACCAAAAAGTGCAAATAATTGCAATAATGATGTAAAATGGTAAATGGTGCTAAAATAAGTTCATATAATCATTCCTGAATAATGGAATGTCCTTTGTGTGAGAGTACCAACTCAGAAAGTGCCTATGAATGACAGTAGTGCATGAACTCGTGAAAGATAAACCACCCTTGGGACGGGTCTACACTCACCAGAACAAAAGTATTAATGCGCATGGGTTATACACATCACACATCTGGGGGGTGCAGCGGTATGCTGGCAGCTATGGGTTAGTCATCCAGCTCCAGCCATCCATCCATCAGGGTGGGTGCCCAAATGGTCCTGGGGAGGAATTAGCTCAGCCACAGGAGCCAGAAAGGTGCTTAATAGTGTAGTACACTGTCACAAGGGTGGATGACCTTTCACGAGTTCATGCACTACTGTTCGTGGTTATATTTATCTTGTGTAATACCATTTTAGAAGTCTATATAATTTTACCAGCAGTTCCTTTGCTGACTTCTCCTGCTCTGATCCTGGCTTGTGACCCTGACCATTCCTCTGTCTGACCCTCTGTACTATGCTGCTTGCTACCTGCTGAACCTGGCCTGTGACCCCGACTATTCTCCGCTTGCTCCCCCTGTACCTACCTGCCCAATTGATATTGACCCGGCCTGCCTGACGACGCTTGCTTGTATATACTGTTATCTGTGGGTGGTTTGGTTTGGTTTGTTTGCACTGTATTATGTTTTAGTATTGCACTGCGTTTATGTTTGTACTGTTAGTGTTAATAAATTATATTGTTTATAACATATCTGAGGTCTGCGTTTCCCTGCTTCAGTCACACACCTCTGGTCATACCTGGGAGCCCTGACATTACACCAAGGCCAATCCTGACCAGAAGTGGCTGCACAGGGAAGCCATCTTGGCTTGTTGATGGGAAGGATGGATCTAGATGAGGTTGAGTATTTATCTCTGCTAGTGCTTGATGACAGAGAGTATGCTTATCAGACTCTGAAGGAGTATACCCGGGATGAACTGCTAGAATGTATACGGCTCGCTCATGTTCTAGTAGATCAGGGCACAGTTTTCTCTATGGTGCAGCCATTGATTCAGGTTTGTGTTGAGTTGGTTTCATCTGGTTTCCCCGAATGCAGGGATGAATTTTTGCCACCATTTAGTGCAGACCAGGTAGAGTCCCTGGTGTGGTTATTAGAGGATGATGTGGGTTACTTTCTGGAGCGTTATTCCACATGTTCACCACAGACACTGAGAGATTGTATAAACGCAGTGCAGTCATTGACCAGACAGACTTTGTGTAAACTCAGCTTTGTTCAACCCCTACTGCAGACATGGACAGATTTGTTGCACCCAGCCTCAGTCAGCTTACAAAGACCCAGTCCTGCTTCTAACTCTACTCCTGTATTCCCACCAGCTCCTCCAGTTACAGCCCAGTATACTTGGCTATCTACCGCATGTCAGTACCCTGTTCCCACTCGCTGCACCTATCCTGCCTTTAACCCTGTAAAAAAGCCCTCTGTAGCAACTGCTCCCTCTCCTGTTCCATCCTCCAGTTCTTCTCTGTCTCCAGCTGCTCCATTCGTTTGCAGACCTGCGTTTACTTGCAGTGCTCCAGTAGTTAAAACCAGAAAAAAGCGAAAATTCTTTCCAACCAATACCATCCTGCCAGTATCCAAACCGGTGAGCCTGCCTTCCGTGGTTCAGACTGATGCCTGTACGCAGCCTGAAGCCTCTACTCGGCCTGAAGCCTCTACTCGGCCTGAAGCCTCTGAAGCCTCTCTCGGCCTGAAGCCTCTCCTCGCGCCTGAAGCCTCTCGCCTGAAGCCTCTCTCGGCCTGAAGCCTCTACTCGGCCTGATGCCTGTACTCGGCCTGATGCCTGTACTCGGCCTGATGCCTGTACTCGGCCTGATGCCTCTACTCGGCCTGAAGCCTCTACTCGGCCTGAAGCCTCTACTCGGCCTGAAGCCTCTGATGCCTCTCGGCCTGATGCCTGTACTCGGCCTGATGGCCTGATGCCTCTACTCTCGGCCTGATGCCTCTACTCGGCCTGAAGCCTCTACTCGGCCTGATGCCTCTACTCGGCCTGATGCCTGCATTCAGCCTGATGCCTGCCGCTGACTCAGCAGGATGAACTGATCCAGCCCGACGATCCTATTAGGCCAGTTGACTCGATGCCCGCTGTTGATCCAGATGATCCGGTACCTGATCCAGTGCCCCAGCTGTCGTGCCAATTGACTCAGAGCCCGCTGTCAGTCATACCTGGTGACCCGGTGCCCACTGCCTTGCCAGATGACGCGGTGCCCGCTGGCAAGCCAAATGACCTGATGCCTGGTGACCCAGTGCCCGCTGTCATACCTGGTGACCCGATGCCCGCCCGCTGTCGAGCCAGACGATCCAATGCCTGGTGACGCGGTGCCCACTGCCTTGCCAGATGACCTGATGCCTGGCGACCCAGTGCCCGCTGTCATACCTGGTGACCCCGATGCCCGCTGTCGAGCCAGACAATCCGGTACCTGATGCCCCGGTGCTCACTGTCGTGCCTGTTGACTCGGAGCCCACTGCCTTGCCAGATGACGCGGTGCCCGCTGTCGAGCCAAATGACCTGATGCCTGGTGACCCAGTGCCCGCTGTCCAGTCAGACGATCCAATGTCTGACCCAGTGCCCGCGGTCATACCAGTTGACTGACTCGGAGCCCACTGCCTTGCCAGATGACGCGGTGCCCGCTGACAAGCCAAATGACCTGATGCCTGGTGACCCAGTGCCCGCTGTCATACCTGGTGACCCGATGCCCGTCTGTCGAGCCAGACAATCCGGTACCTGATGCCCCGGTGCTCACTGTCGTGCCTGTTGACTCGGAGCCCACTGCCTTGCCAGATGACGCGGTGCCCGCTGTCGAGCCAAATGACCTGATGCCCCAGTGGTGACCCAGTGCCCGCTGTCCAGTCAGACGATCCAATGTCTGACCCAGTGCCCGCGGTCATACCAGTTGACTCGGAGCCCACTGCCTTGCCAGATGACGCGGTGCCCGCTGTCGAGCCAAATGACCTGATGCCTGGTGACCCGATGCCCGCTGTCCAGCCAGACGATCCAATGTCTGACCCAGTGCCAGCGGTCATCCCAGTTGACTCGGAGCCCACTGTTGTGCCTGGTGACTCGGTGCCCGCCGCCCCCCTGCCCGAGACCTGGGGCCTGGGGGCCCGAGTCGCCCGTCGGCGCCGCCTAAGGGCCCGAGACCTGTCGCTCCGCCTGGGGGTCCCGAGGCACCGCTCCACCTGCCCTCCCGCCGCTCCGCTGAGGGCCCGAGACCTGTCGCTCCATCTGGGGGTCCGGCGCCCGCGCTCCGCCTGAGGGCCCGAGACCTGTCGCTCCCACCTGGGGGTCCGGCGCCCGCCGCTCCGCCTGAGGGCCCGAGACCTGTCGCTCCACCTGGGGGTCCGGCCCCCGCCGCTCCGCCTGAGGGCCCGAGACCTGTCGCTCCATCTGGGGGTCCGGCGCCCGCCGCTCCGCCTGAGGGCCCGAGACCTGTCGCTCCATCCTGGGGGTCCGGCGCCCGCCGCTCCGCCTGAGGGCCCGAGACCTGTCGCTCCGCCTGGGGGTCCGGCGCCCGCCGCTCCGCCTGCCCGAGACCTGTCGGCCCCGAGACCTGTCGCGCTCCAGCCTGGGGGTCCGGCCCCGCCCGCCTGTCGCTCCCGCCTGGGGGCCCGGTGCCCTCGCCCCGCTGGGGGCCCTGGGGGTCGCCCAGCTGGGGGTCCGCCCCGCCGCTCCGCCTGAGGGCCCGAGACCTGTCGCTCCGCCTGGGGGTCCGGCGCCCGCCGCTCCGCCTGGGGGCCCGAGACCTGTCGCCCCGCCTGGGGGCCCGGCCGCCCCCCGCCTGGGGGCCCGCCTGCGCCCCGCCTGGGGGCCCGGTGCCTGTCGCCCCTGTCGCCTGGGGGCCCGGTGCCTGTCGCCCCCCGCCGCCCGCCCGGGGCCCGGTGCCTGCGCTGGGGGCCCGGTGCCTGCTGCCCCGCCCGGGGGCCCGGTGCCTGCTGCCCCGCCCGGGGGCCCGGTGCCTGCCCCGCCCCGGGGGGGCCCGGTGCCTGCTGCCCCGCCCGGGGGCCCGGCCTGCCCGCCCGCCTGCCCCGCCCTGGGGCCCGGGCCTGCCCCCCCCGGGGGCCCGGTGGCCCGGTGCCTGCTGCCCCCCGCCCGCCCGGTGCCTGCCCCCCGCCCGGGGGCCCGGTGCCTGCCGCTCCGCCCCGGGGCCCGATGCCTGCCCGCTTCGCCCTGGTAATCCGATGTGCCTCTGCCCGGAGTCCTGCCCGATGTGCCTCTGCCCGGAGTCCTGCCCGATGTGCCTCTGCCCGGAGTCCTGCCCGATGTGCCTCTGCCCGGAGTCCTGCCCGATGTGCCTCTGCCCGGTGTGCCTGCCCGATGTGCCTCTGCCCGGATGTGCCTGCCCGATGTGCCTCTGCCCGATGTGCCTCTGCCCGATGTGCCCTGCCCGATGTGCCTCTGCTCGATGTCTGCTGCGATGTGCCTCTGCCCGGAGTCCAGCCCGGTGTGCCGCTGCCCGGAGTCCTGCCCGGTGTGCCAGTCTTTGATATCCCGCCAGTTGCCAGACCCGGGCGGTGGAACATTTTGCCCAGCTAGGACTGTTTGGAGCGTCCTGAGGCCGCTCCTTGAGGGGGGGGTACTGTTAGGAATGGACTGGCCAGCAATGGTGGGACTCACCTGCCTTTTGATCTGCAGTACCAGGGCTGGCCAGCGGGTGCTCCCAGCAATCAGAGACTCAACCTTTCAGCCAGCTAACACCTGGAACTGATGATGCTGGGGTATTTAAGGGATGGCCAGACTTGCAGACTCTGCCTTGGTGTTGTGTTTGTCCTGGGCCCTGTATCTGTCCTGCATCCTGTTTCTGTTCCTTTGCTGACTTCTCCTGCTCTGATCCTGGCTTGTGACCCTGACCATTCCTCTGTCTGACCCTCTGTACTATGCTGCTTGCTACCTGCTGAACCTGGCCTGTGACCCCTACCTGACCTGGCCTGTTTCTCCGCTTGCTCCCCCTGTACCTACCTGCCCAATTGATATTGACCCGGCCTGCCTGACGACGCTTGCTTGTATATACTGTTATCTGTGGGTGGTTTGGTTTGGTTTGTTTGCACTGTATTATGTTTTAGTATTGCACTGCGTTTATGTTTGTCGCTGTTAGTGTTAATAAATTATATTGTTTATAACATATCTGAGGTCTGCGTTTCCCTGCTTCAGTCACACACCTCTCCCCCACCCCATCATCACCTGTCCCATATGCAAATCTATGGATCACCGCCCCACTCTTTTTAACTATCTATTTACTGATCAAGTGAATGTGTCTCATTTTCTATCAGCTACAGCTCAGATCTCACATTATTATACGATTGCTGATTGTATATCACCACTAGTCTGATTGAATTCACAATTCCTGGTCAGTCCCGTTCCCTTACCTCTAATAATCTTTAGGGCCAGTTTACACTACATTTTCAGTTTCAGTTGCTTTTTTCGGCATCAAAAACGCACAGAAAGAAGGTTATATGGTTGTCAATGTCATAGTTCACACCAGCACTTGCATTTTCAGTGCATTGCAGGTGCTGTAAACAAAGTTGACCACGCTGCATTGTTTCTGCACAGAACTGTACTGGAACACATTGAAACATCCTTGAATGTACTAAAACGCACATGTCCCTAATTAAATTGAATAAAAAAAAGAAAGTAGAAAAAATTAACTGGAAGGGATACAAAATGCAATGCAACGTGTCCAAAACGCATCCAAAATGTACTGGAACACACTAAACATGCATGCCAAAAGGGCATGCAAAAACACATCAGGAACACATCTAGACTGTTTCTATAGTGTGAACTGGCCCTTAGGACTTGTTCACACCATTGGTGGTGCAGAAACGCATGCAAGAACACACATTTTCCAGCACAGCAAAGAAATGCACTGCCCTTCGCAGATGTGCGCGGTTAGGTGCAAAACACTTTTAAAATAATATGCCTGCAGTATTTTTGCATGTTCCCATACATTAGGCAGCCCATTGAAATTAACAAGCTGAGAAAAAAAAAAAAAAAAGTAAAAATGCCCCATTCACACAGGTCCTCTGGCCTGTACAGCATGAATGAGTGGGTTGTTTATGTGGCTAGAGCCACCTGCTACACTATGGGGACACAGCAGCTATATGAACACAGGTTTTAATCTGACAGGTGTGAAGGCGTGGGGAAGTGGCCCTGAATGCTGACTGACTGTCTGTGTTCAGGGCTGTACACCTGCACCCATATGCTTGTCAAATTATGACCTGCAGCATTTCCATAGTGTAACATAGGTTTCCTGCAAACGGCGATAGCCACAAAAACAAACCACTGATTCCCACTCTACAGGCCACAGCACCCATGAGCCCCAAAACCTCAATTACACCTCAATTACACACACAGCTTTATTTATGAACTCAGTACAGTTTTATCATTTAGATTTCACAGGAATATGGTTGGGATGTCCATTAATAATGTTTTTAGTGTATTTTTACCATAAATATAATTTGGATATTTTCTCTGGCAGTGGGGGGCTGTCAGGTATGCTGTATGAGGCCCCATGATATCTAACAGTGGCCCTGGGTGTATGCTTGTGTCTGTGCCACCTGTATAATTAGGAAGAACCTTGAACCTCTGCTATGTACCTCAATGGATCTAGGAATTGGACATGTTTTCAACTGAAAATACAACAATTATTAGTAATGTTTCCCCGGGAAATGAGGATTAGCTCCTCGGTAGAGAACAGTGATCTCGCCATGTCCAGATGTGGTTTGGAATTCCACAAAAGAACAATTCACAAAGCTAAAAAATAGACTTGCAAATTACCACTAAACTCTCCTAACTACACTCCCATCCACTCACACTCCCCACTTCCACCTCCGGGTGTGTGCAAACATCCTTCCGCAAACATCATGGCGTATTTCCGGTATGACAGTTGCTCTAGCGCCTCCTCCAACAGCCGTCTTGACGTTTATTTGTGCACCATAGCAATTTTACACGCGGCTCTATTGTGTATATGACATTCGCAAATATATGTTTGCAGTTCTATTGTGGATTTGGCATTGGTGAATGTATGCTTGCAGCTAAAGGCCCAAAGTCAACATAAATTTGGGGCCCAATTTATTACTGTTAAGAGGATTGAAGAAAAAGAATAGCTAGCTGCACATTGAACACGACCTATTCATTGGTACATAACATGGTCTTGTGGTGCAATAGGGGGCTTTTGGTTTGTTATTTTGGACATACTTGCATATGTGCGCTCTAACAAGAACGATTTGGGCATATTATATAGCTAGCAAAAATAAGTGTTAGGGGTGCTAGTACATTTCAGATACTTATATAGCGCTGTCAATTTACGCAGCGCTTTACATATAGATGTGGTAAATTCACATCAGTCCCTAACCCTCAAGGGGTGTACTAAGGGCCCTAACTTACATTCATACATAGACTAGGGCCAATTTTGACAGGATCCAATTAACCTACCAGCATGTCTTTAGAGTGTGGGAGGAAACCAGAGTACCCAGAGGAAACACAGGCACAGGGAGAACATGCAAAGTCCAGGCAGGAGGTGCCGTGGCTGGGATTTGAACCAACGACTCTAGTACTGCCAGGTGGAAGTGCTAACCATTTAGCCACTGTGCAACATTCAACTAGAACATTAAATAATCCCCCCAAAAAATACATAGTCCAAATGTTTATTGATCAAATACACATTCTCCACATTTATTTGGACAGCAACAAAAAGCTACATTCAATATCTTGGTGAAAAAAAAAACCCCAAAAATAAACCACAGGATTGATGTTGCTAAAATAGAACGGTCCTGCTCATAAGAGTTTACAATCTAAAAGATTATACTTCTAATGAACTGTGCTTTCACAGGTTACAGCAGGAAACAAACGGTTAATATGAATCACTTGGGCTTATTCACAAAACAAGCTGCAGATTGAAATATCAACATAAAAATACATACGTGCCAAAATAAAAACACCTCCCACCTCCCCAAATCCCCCACACATACATTTCTCACCATGTTTGTCTGAAAACTGCATTTCATTCTAAATAAAGCAAACTTGGAAGAGCAGAGCAATGAACCAAGCAGGCAATTCAACAAAGGAAATAAATCTTTGAAGGCATGCGGTATCTGCATGCTCAGATAAGGGTCTGTTATGGATTTGGGGGGGGGGGGGGGGGACTCCATGCCATTATTTTATTATTTTTTTTTTTTTAATCCTTTTCTCTCTCTCGCTCACTCTTCTCATGGTTTGACAAACTTTCCCAAAAGGAGGTGGAGTGCAAACCAGCATTATCCAATCAATCATTAGTCCAGGCCCTTATCTCATCCCATCGTTTGACATTCACATAAGGTGCTACTTTAAAGGTGTTTGAACAGACAAGGCCTCATTCTAATTCACATTCTAGGGATCATTTAAACAGAAAGCAAAGATGCTGCCACCAGCACATGTATGTTAGGGTAGTCACACGGAG